ACTCTTAAGTGAAATAAACAGGACACACATGTGTAAATACCAATAGTTTCTCTAGTGTGAGAAACTGAAAGTGTAAATAAGGATCAAAATGATTAAAACGAATAATTGATAATTTGAAATAGGAAGAAAAGGTCCAAAGAGGTAGGGGTGGTGGGAGGGGAAGGGGGAAGGAAAGAAGGGAAAGGAAAAATTATGAGAAAAGAAAAAAAATGGAAACGAAATCTATGTAAATAGGGAGGGGTGGAGGGGGTGAAGGGCGCACAGGTAATGGGGAAAAAATAAGAACCAAGGTTCATCATGTACAGGTACAAGCACCTGATGACAAATGTAAACGTACTGGGCCGGGGATTTAGCTCAGTGGTTCCGGCGCCTGCCTCAAAACTGGAAGGTCTCGAGTTCGATCCCCGGTACCAAAAAAAAGAAAAGCATACCCTGTAAACATACTGTTCACCTAAAATGGACCAGTAAAAGAATTTAAGGAAAAAAACTCAAAAAACCCGAGGGCCAGGGATTTAGCTCAGTGGCACCGTGCCCGCCTTGTAAGTGCAAGGTCCTGAGTTTGATCCCTAGTCCAAAAAAAAAAGACCCCCACAGCCCCAGAACCCTCCTGAGCTCACCACAGCCTCACCAAGCACTCCCTCACGGTCACTGCCAGGACCCACAGAAGGCATCAGCCCTGTAGCAGGCACAGGGCCAGCTGGACACAGCAGGCAGGGCAGACTGGACAACCCATAGCAAAGCGGCTGGGACTCACACGTGCACGAGGACAGAGGTTGCCTCCTCCCACTCCCTGGCCTGACCCAAGCAAGCACCCTCCAGGGAAAGGAAGGTGCAGGAACTTGGCACATCAGACCAGTGAGGACCCTGACAGAACCTTGGAGAGCACAGATTAATACAGTAGGGGCTGCAGCTACATGCACAGTCACATCAAGCACATGTGAAGTCACAGCTGGAAACAAGCAGCCCTGCCTGTGAGGACAGAGTACTCCCCCCTCCCACGGCTCCACTCCCGGGGGACGGTGCTGGGTAAGATCTGGAAGAGGCTAGCTCTTTTCCCAGGTCCTGCTGTGAGCAGTCCCTGCAGGGGGCCTTCCTCAGAAGAAATTCTCAGGATGGGAGGGGGTCGGGGGTCCCTCTTCCCAGGAGGCTCCACCAAAGACCTTCAGCAGCTCCCAGGCACAGTCCTGCCAAGCCAGGGCTCCCACGTGACCACTCTTAAGCCCTGGGGCAGCCCCGGGGCCTTGTGGGGATCCCTGTAGCTGGTTAGTGTGGGAAGGAGGATGTGGCTCCCCAGCAGGGCCCCAGTGGAGCCCCAGGGCGGAAGAGGCTGCTAGGATTAGGGTAGGTCAGGGTGGGGGCTCAGAACTTGCCGGGCCTCAGCCTGAGCTCTGAAGTGAGCCACTGGCCTGGATCCCAGGGGTGGAGGTCCACAGTGGGGAGGGGCAAGTTTCTACAGCTGTTTTCCACCCTCCTGTGGTGAGGCGGGCAGGCTTTGATCCTGTGGGTTGGGGGCATTAACCCTTCAGGAAGGAAACAGCACAGCCTGGCCTGCAGTAGTAGAGAACCAGGAACACAGCTGGAATAAGCTGGCTCCGGCCAGGACCCTCCTCTGGAACAGCCTCACATCCAGGCTGTGTCCTGTCCCACAGCACAGGCCCTACACCCACAAGGCGTTAAGAGGGCCATCCTGCACCTACCAGGGAAGGCCTGGCAAACAAGGGGGGAATGGTTTCAAAACAACTCTTCCACTTCCTTTTCAAGATTTTTTTTTTTTTTTTTTTTTTGGTACCAGGGATCGAACTCGGGTCCTTGAGCTTGCTAGGCAGGCGGCAAAACCACTGAGCTAAATCCCTGGCAACTCTTCCACTTCCAATCTGCTGGGAAGAATGGAAGCTGGGACTCTTCTCTGATGGAGATCCAGGGATTGGGGTGGTTCTGGAAAAAGCCAAAAGCTGTTTCCATCCACCAGCTCAGTCCTGCTCTCTTCCTCTGCCTAAAGGGAGATCACCCTGCAAAAATTTTTTTTTTGGTACCAGGGATCGAACTCAGGTCCTTGTGCTTGCAACGCAAGTGGCAGAACCACTGAGCTAAATCCCTGGCCCCTACCCTACAAAATTTCATGGCCACCATCACCTGTCCAGCAAAGCTCACCCACAAGGCCGCCAGGAGAGCCCAGGTGAAGCCAGAGGGACAAACCCAGTCCTTCAGGTTTCTGATCAGCACCCTCGGTGGGCAGAGAAGAGGCAGCCCCTCCAGTAGCTACAGAGACAGATCACCATGGCAGACAGCCTCGAGGCTGGACCTCCCTAGGGGAGGGGCTCTCAGGGGAGCTGAAGCTGGGAAAAGCCACTGCCTACCTCAGCAGGAGGGATGTGGGGGGACACAAGGTGACTACCCAACAGCAGAGGAAGCCAGCCCGCCCAGCAAGCACTCTGCCCATAGCCTAGGTACCCTGGACCGGGGGATCAGGCCACCGCCACCCACAGCCCTGGCACCCAATGTATCTCCAGCCAGCCCCAGGACTGCCCTCCTCATGGCGCTGGGCAGCTCGTCTGGCAGAGGAAGGGCCCAGCAGGAACCTAGCTGGCTAGACAGGGCCAGGGAGCGTGGCCATCAGGACCCTCAACTTCAGGACTGAGCAGGCGCCAGACTCACTCTGACCCTGGCCCCCTGCCCTGTCCCTGTGCCAGGCCCTGGCAGGAGCAAACAACACTTCCTTTTTCTGCTCCTGGCAAAGAGAAAGCCCTTATCCAGGCCTGTGTCCCTCCTGGGGGCTTCAGGGAGGTGCCAGAACTGGCTCCTGAAGTGGGTGGAGGATGGCAGGTGGGGAAGTGCCCAAATGGAAGGTGGCTAAGGGCTGCCTAGAGCAGGCTCCTTCGTGAGAAGCAGCCCACACAAAGCAAGGGATGGAGGGCTCCTTCCTGGAGAAGCAGCCCCCCCCTGCCCAAAGGTGGTGAAGAGGGAGGGGCACATACCTGTCTCAGCTATGCCAGGAATGTGGCTCCCCAGGCGAGGGAGGACCAAGGGAGGAGCCTTTCTGGGGCTGGGGGCGGAGCTGGTTGCACGGGGCCATGAACACCACCCCCACCCTCCAAAGCAGTGCTGGCGGGAGAAACTGAGGAATAGGCTCTAGAAGGGGGTCAGGTGTGTGTCCCAGCAGCAGGTGCCTCTCAAGCCAGTTTCTGGGTGGGGTAGACAAGGGTGGAGAGGGCCTGGATGGAGTCCCACACAAGCAGGGCCCTGGGGGTGACATGCACTTTACCCTGAGGGCACATGGGTTCACAGGAAAGGGGCTGGCTTGGGTCCACTGAAGTGAAGGAAGGAGGAGCCCTAGGTCCTTAACCCTCACCTCTCAGCCCACCCAGACCGAGGATGTTCCTTCTCCAGCCTGGGGCCCTGGTCTGCTTCTAAACAGAGGTCCCCGCAACCCCCAGCACCCTCCGTCGCAGCCCAGGCTCCCAGCTCTCCCTAGACCCACTCCTTAGCCAGCTACCTGTGGGTGCGGGTTCCCACCTGGACCTCAGTCACACTGGGGGTGGGGGGCTGTCCCACAGTTCAGCCTTGGCCTTCCCAGCACCAGTACCAGGGCCTGGCATGGGCAGAGCAGGTGTGGAGAGATGCCCCACCTTGCTCTGCCCAGGGTGACCCTCCTATGTGACCTCTGACCCCACAGCAGGACCTCAGTTACTGAGTCATGGACCCTCAGGCTGGACCCACCCAGCTACAGGGTTAATGATTGATTGTGTTCTGGGGCTGGCAGGGACAAGGGACCGCTGGGCTCTGAGTGTCCTCCTCCAGCCTCCCCCAGCCCCAAAGCTGGACATCACTGACCCCATCCTCCCCTGCCTCCATGCCACAGCACCCATCTTTCCCCAAGCCACAAGCTTCCAGGGCAGGGCCAGGTCTCTGGTCCTTGCAGTAGGACAGCCAGGCTCAGGTCCCCACAGCTGAGTTTGTCTCGGCAGGGCTGGACCCAGGGGACCTGGAGACAGCCCAGAAGCAGCTAACTGCAGCTGGGGGGAACACCAAAGGGCTGCCCGCTTGGGCCCTGCTCTTCTTCCTGGACAGAGGTCCTCTGGCCACTGTGAATACCTCTGAGGAGCCAAGCCAGCAGCAAAGCCGCAAGGCAGACGGAAGAAAGGACTTCCCTGCTGGCTAACAGACCATCAGAGCACCAGAAGGCACAATCCTTGCCACTGCCCTGGACAGGAAGTTTCTCTCCATCCCCCACCCTACATCCTTTCCAACAGCAGGCACAGCAAGAAGGAATAGATAGGACGTAGGGATGGCAAGGCCCTACTGCACTCTCCTGCACAGTCCCTGAGCAAGGGTCTTGGCCCTCAACTGGGGTCATCCTAAGGCAGGGGGAGCCCTGGTCCATCATGATTCTGGTCACCTCCCAGAGGTTGGTTGGCCAGGGACTTGGGGATTCTACACCCACCCAGCGAAGCACTCACCCTGCAAAGCAAGTCTTCCCAGAAACCACAAATCGCAGGCTTCTGGGACACACAGGTAGCCCCCACCCGGCAATCTCTGTGCCCGACCGCCAAGGTTTTGCTCAAACACGTGGGCCCAGTGTAGACAGATGTTTGGGCTTCTGAAGGAACATGACAACTGGTGTCCATTCACCTGGTCCAGTTTCTCCCTAGGAAAGGGCCCTCTGAGGGAGAGAGTGGAATGCCGGGGAGGAGGAATGGGAGAGGAAGCAGAGGAGACCAGGCTCTTTGCAAGGATGGGGCTCTCTTCAGCTTAAGACGGAAGCTGTCTGAATGCTTGGGGCTGTGGACTTCTGGATGCCTGGGGGCAGCAGGGAGCCCAGGGAGCCAGGAAGCAGGGCCTGCTTAGCCTTCAGCAAACTCTTCTGTGCCTCCCCCAACCCAGTCCTCCCAGAGGCCAACTGGACATTTCATCATCTCCAAGCCTGCTCCCTGCACCCATACCTGCTGCCCTCTCCGCCTGTGCCTTGACCACCAGCCCGGACATGGTCGCCCCCAACGAACCTTCCACGCAGAACTCCACCTCTTCCAGGTTCCGCAGAGTAATGCGCATGAGGCTGGAGTTGAGCATGAGCTCGTTCTTGTGGGCCGGCCACAGGTAGCGGGGAGCTGGGTTCACAAAGAAGATCCTGGTGTCCCCAGTGGACACCTGGTTGTCACAGATGAGGGGGTCTCCAAAGCCACTGATCACCACCTTGTTGCCGCCATCCATCAGGTTCTCCTGGGTCACCACCTCTTTGCCCTTCAAGTACCGCCAGACTCGAACCTGGGGTGGAAACAGGGCCAAGTGTCACCAGTCCTCCTTCCACTCAGGGAAGGGTACCAGCCTGGGGCCCTGAGCCCTTCCCCACTCTGGCCTCAGCGGCTCCGGCCAAACATCCACAGCGGACCCTAGTCCTGGACAGAGATATATGGAGGTATTTGGGTCAGCCCTGTGCGCAGGCTACAGGGACCCATACTCGTGCCGAATATCACTGGCCCCTTAGTGCCATACACGAGGCCAGCAGCTCCCCAGCCCAGGTCTACTCAACCCCAGCCACATGAGGTGCAAGAGGTCCAAACAGGCGCAGGCTAGATCTGGAATTGGGCTCCCCCAGGCCTGGAGCACCACCTTGCACCCCACCCACCCACCTCTACTCAAGCCACTCTGGGGAAGGCCAGGACCAGCAACCTGGAAAGGGGCTTCAGGACAAGGGGCCAGCTTGGGTCCACGCAGCCCTGTAGGTGGGCTGAGACACCTCCCCCAGGAAAGGCCCCTCCGAAGACCGTGGGCCCATGCAGTCAAGGCAGCTGGGAACCACAAAGTCAAGTTGGGGCAGCTCAAGGCAGCCTCACCCTCCACCTTCTCCTCCTGGTGCCCTCAGGGCACCTGCTCTGACTAAGCCCGAGACACATGGCAGCCTCAGGCAGCCCCCCATGGCAGCAGGCCTGTGGGCCCCTGCATTTCCTGGGAAGGTGCCCTGGGAAGAGGCCCCTTCCCCAGGGGCCTGGGGCCCGGGCTTCTGGAAAGGTGGGGTGAAAGACAATGGGCACCTGTCCTCCTAGCCAGCCGCTGGGAACCTCAGGACTGTGGCTTATGCGGGGACCCCTCCAACCAACGCAAAGCATCCTGTGTCCCACCCCAGACATAGTAGGACCATGAGCCAGGCAGGGGGAGGGTCTTTGGGTTTTCACAGACCCCCTCCCCACGCCAACCACGCCCAGGAGCAGCCAACGGAAGTCGGGAAAATCCTGCAGGGACTTGGCAAAGTGCCCTGGCGGCAGGGGAGGGGGCCCAGCTGGGGGAGCCCAGCCGTATCCCACACAGGCCACTCTGACAAGGAGCCGCCACCCTCCTCATCTCCACAGAGCAGGAACGATCCGATTGCGGGCCCAGGGAGGTGGTTTTGGGGGTCAGAGGAAGGACCATCCCATCCCAGAAGCCCTCCCTAGCAGATCATGGACAGAACCCCCCATACCTATTCCAAGTGCTCCAGATCCAGCCGAAGGAGAAGCAAGGCAAGGCCTCCCTGGCCGGCTCCAGTGCCCTAGGGAGCAGAGCCCAGCACCGGCCCCCACCCGGCCCCACACACTCGGGCCTCCGCCGCGGCCCCGCCCCCGTCTCGCTCGGCCCACACCCAGTCACTGCGGCGGCTCCGCGGCCAGGTCACTGGGCTTTGCGCCCTTTCTCTCTCCCGACCACCCCTTTCGCGCTGGTGCAGGCCTCTGGGACGTGGAGTGGAGGGGCAAGGACAGCACTGATTACATCGGCCGAGTCCTTGACTCCAGCTCTATTCCTTCTCTTGGCCGGTGGGGAGAAGTGCCGCAGCCCTAGTCCTTCCAGGCGGGGGCGCGGGGGGAGGCGCACTTGTTCTGACTAGGGGTGGCTCGGGCGGAAGGGCAGCCTCCCGGGTCTCGGGCCTGGGCCCGCGGGCGGGACCGCAGAAACTTTCCCCCGGCTCTCCAGACTTTTCCGCGACCTGGCGCCCCACCCGGAGGCTTGGCCGTCGCCAAGGGAGCGCGAGCGGGGGCTGCGGAGCGTACGGGGCGCGTTCCCACGCCCGGGCCGGGGTCCCGCTAGGCAGCAGGCGCGAGGGGAAGGGGCCCGGCCCGCGATGCGGGGGCGCGGTGTGGGCGGCCCACCTTGCACGAGTACGTGAGCTGCACCGGGTCCACGTTGAGAATCTCCTCCACCGTGCCGGTGAGCACCACGTTCGCCTCCTCCTCTCGCCGCTCCAGCGCGCGCTCCGGGCACGTCCCGTGGGCGCCGGGCAGGGCGCGCGCTGCCACCAGCAGGAGCAGCAGCAGCGGTGCCGGTGCCGGGCTGCACGGCCGCGGTCGGGCCATGGTGCCACGGGGATGGGGACAGCGCGGAGCCGCGGGCCGGGCCGCGCCGGGGACAGGACTGGACGGACGGGAGGCAGCTCGGGGCGG